GCACTGTGGCACAGCAGGTTAATGCCCTGGCCTGAAGCTCTGGCATTCCATATGGGCACCGGTTCTAGGCCCGGCTGCTCCTCTTCCGATCCAGCTCGCTGCTGTGGCCTGGGAAAGCAGTAGAAGATGGCCCAAGTCCTTGGGCCCCTGCACCCACATGGGAGACCCAGAGGAGGCTCCTGGCTTCTGGCTTTGGATCGGCACAGCTCCGCCAATTGTGGCCATCTGGGGAGTGAACCATTGGATGGAAGACCTCTCTCTCTGCCTCTCCTCTCTCTTTGTAACTCAGACTTTCAAATAAATAAATAAATCTTTAAAAAAAGTAAAAAGAAACAGATGAAATTAATTTTAATACATTAGTAGTTTTGTTCAAGATAACTAATATTCTAATTTTAAAATAGCATCCTATAAATGAGATATTCTACATGCTTTTCTTGGAAACTCTATATTCATTCATATTTATTTTTTTTTCCTTTTTTTTTTTTTTGACAGGCAGAGTGGACAGTGAGAGAGAGAGACAGAGAGAAAGGTCTTCCTTTTGCCGTTGGTTCACCCTCCAATGGCCGCTGCGGCCAGCGCACTGCAGCTGGGGCACCGTGCTAATCTGAAGGCAGGAGCCAGGTGCTTATCCTGGTCTCCCATGGGGTGCAGGGCCCAAGCACTTGGGCCATCCTCCACTGCCTTCCCGGGCCACAGCAGAGAGCTGGCCTGGAAGGGGGGCAACTGGGACAGAATCCGGTGCCCCGACCGGGACTAGAACCTGGTATGCCGGCGCCACTAGGTGGAGGATTAGCCTATTGAGCTGCGGTGCCGGCCTATTCATTTATATTTAAAGCACAACTGGGAAGGCAGGTGTTGTGGGGCATTGGTTTAAGCAGCTGCCTGTGATGCTGGCATCTCATATGAGTACTGGTTTGAGTCCTGGATGCCCCACTTCCAACCCAGCTTCCTGTTAATGCATCTGGGAAAGCAGAGGAGGATGGCTCAAGTCCATACAATAGGGGACCAAGATGGAGTTCCTGGTTCCTGGCTTCAGCTTGGTCCAACTCCAGCGGTTGTAGGCATCTGCTAAGATGGAAGATTTCTCTCTTTCTTTCTCTCTCTCTCTCTCTCTCTGTAACTCTGCCTTTCAAATAAATAAATCTTCAAAGAAAAAGTATAACTGGGAGCTGGCACTGTGGTGTAGCAGGTAAAGCCGCTGCCTGCAGTGCCAGCATCCCATATGGGTGCCGGTTCGAGTCCTGACTCCTCCACTTCCAATCCAGCTCTCTGCTATGGCCTGGGAAAGCAGTGGAAGACAGCCCAAGTCCTTGGATCCCTGCACTGCATGGGAGACCTGGAAGAAGCTCCCTGCTACTGACTTCAGAGCAGTAAAGCTCTGGCTGTTGTGGCTATTTGGGGAGTGAGCCAGCAGATAGAAGACCTCTCTGTCTCTCCTCTGCGTCTCTCTCTCTGTGTGTAACTCTGACTTGCCAATAAATAAATAAATCTTTAAAAAAAAAGGTATAATTGGAGCCAGCTACTTTTTGGATACTCTCTGCCCCAGGTAGCCTGCAGCCAGCATTTTTGGACGGCACATATTCAGATGATCCCTTTCCTTTGAACTTCTGACATTGGGTGGTGTGGAGAGTGGATTAAGGTACTGTTACCTATCCTGACTCATATTTTCCTTTATGTGCTTGTACTTTAATCACTTTCAAGCTGTTAACGGCAGAGCTGGAATTTCTAGAGCTCTTTTCTGACATGGCTGGTATAAATGGATGCAGCACTTCTGCTGGGTTTGGATACCAAGGGTAGTTAGAAGGCAATGGAGGGACCCATCACCCAGACAGCTCAGAGCTGTGGGAAGAACACACAGGTGCACTAAGGACATGAGTAGTGTTAAGAAAGTGCCTTGGCTGTTTCTTTGCTGCTGTAGCTAGAAGAGTATAGGATTGGGGCTGGCTGGCTGGATTTGCTAGCCTGGCTCTGTGACTTTAGAGTAAGTCACTAATCTCTCTGAACCTCACCTTTCTTACCTGTAACATGGGGATAATAAGCACTTTTCTGCTTTCCTCAAAGGAGTAATGTGAGCTCAAATTATGGGATTCTAAGGAACTGGCTTCATGAAAACACTGAAGTCCTCAGCTCATGTGAATCATAAGCCAGCTTGAAGTCTTCCAGCATCACTACCACACAGTCAGTTTAAGGGAACCAGGTTTTATTAAGGGTCTGGAGCCCAAGTCTGGATTGTGATACGGGGGGAGGAGTCTCAGTTAGAGAGACAGACTCAGATGCAAGACAATCAGGAAACGGAATGGAAGCCCCACTGCATGGGCTTTGCTATTGTGTCCTGGAATGAGTGTGTGGGGTCAATGCAGAAGATGAAGAGTGTTTGGAGAGCCAACAGGGAGGCAGAGAGTGTTCTTGGGGAGGGCACAGCAGCCACAAAGGCCCAGTGTGGGAACGACAGCCACTGCTGGGAGTGTTGAGAAACTTTGTGAAAAGGACAGCAATGAGGTGCAGGGAGGCGTGGCTCTGGGGTTCCCTTCCCTACTGCAACTTTTCTGAGGAATCAGCCGCCAGCCAGAGACCACACTTCCCAAGGCCCTGTCTTCTGCATGGTCCTGAAAGTGGGTCACCCTCCTCAGAGGAGACTGGCCCACTTGAGATAAATATGAAAGACGACCACAGCCACGGTTGGATGCTCTGATAATCTCCAGGACGACTGCGCGCTCAGGAAGAGCGGCCCTTATCTCAGACCATCTCTTTGCTGCCGACTCTTGTCCCAGGAATAAAGCTGGATAGAGGCCCTGGAGGAAACAAAACGGCCAGACAGGTCCAATGCTTCCAGAGACATCTGGCTTTTGCATCAGTTCTTGTTTTAATGATAGGGGCTTCCTATTATGAATTGACAGTTTTACACACAAACACACACCACACCACACACACATACCACAGACAGCACACATCACACCAGACATGCGCACACCACATCACACACCACACACACACATACAACAGATACTACACATACCATACCACACAACGCACACCAGACACACACACACACACACAGAGTTCAAGCTCTACCCTTTACTCCCTTAGCAGCACATACAGACATTCTTCAACACACATGCACACACACACATGCACACATAAAACCACGCATGCCTTGGTGACATGGAAGGCAGACAGAGCTGCTCTAATTTGAGCACCCTGAGTGAATGAAGACTGAAGGCTAAGCTGATGTATGAGATTGTTAATCAGACATCCAAACAGGTAGCTGTAGAAACGACACCGGGGGCACACTTGTCCCCTCTTCTTTTCTGTCCTGTCAATTCTCCATCAGCTCTAATATCCCTCAAGCGTTGGGGTCCTGGCTTGCCTGTCACTTTTCTCTCCATCCTCAGGTCTGCCTTTTCCAGGCTTCAGTTGGGTCTACACATATGAATTTGGAAAAGGCCAAATTGCTTTTTAAAATTGTTTTTCACTAGTCTAGGAGGGGGTAGGGTGCTTCCAAAAGTGCCCTGTGCCGCCGGAGCCTTCTGCCGTGACAGGATCATATCCAGGCCCTTCCTGGCACTCTTCCAGACAAGAGGAACTGCTCATCTGAATCTGAATACTGTGCAAGTTTCTTTTTTTAAAAAAATTATGTGTGTGTTTATTTCATGTATTTGAAAAGAAGGGAGAGAGAGAGAGAGAGAATGAGAATATTCTATTTGCTATTTTTCTCCTCAAATACCAGCAATGGCGGGAGCTGGGCTAGGCTGAAGCCAGGAGTCAGGAACTCAGTCTGAGTCCCCCATAAGGGAGGCAGAGGCCCAAGTACCCTGCTCTTCAGGGTGTGCATTAGCAGGAAGTCAGAATTGGAAGTGGAGCCAGGACCCAAAGTCAGATGCTCTATTATGGGACATCAGCCTCCCAAATGCCTACTCCTGTTGTGCTGTTTTCTAGTGTTCTTTGGGCAGAAAACTCAGGCAGTGGTCATTTTCTTTACTGCCAGACCTAGGCCCAACTGAGTAAGTGCAGGGTATGTAGATGGATGGATAAATACAAGATTGTTAGTTCACAGATAATTCCATTTTCCAGTTAAACCTTGATCTTACTCTGGCCCAAGGGTCTGAGATAAAACCCTGGTTTTGTCCAGTGATCTGACACCAGCAAACTCTATTCCATACAAATTCTTAGTCCCAGTCCTGACTCCCACTGCCATGATGATAGGTAGATGTCCCACCAAAGATAACCCGATGCAAAAATGTCCCTGATGTGCTGGAAAAGGAAAGACAACAGAGCATCCTATTGATACAGGGGCGGAACACTGTACTCTAATCTGGTGGTAGGTGGGGTTCTGCCTTGACCCCCGGGTGATGCATTCTCCAAGAACAAGTATTGAAGTCAAGATTGGGTTTCAGGAGTTTCTTCAGCCTTGGAGCCAAACTTCCCCTTAGAAATGTTGAGGCTGGTTAGTTTGCTCCATAATGGGAGGGCTACCTCGACTCCAGGCATCCCAGTGACAGTGACACTACCATTTCAGTCTTCTGGAAGGGAAACCAGCAGGCACTGTGTGCTGACAAATACTGTGCCAGGTATTCTCAAATGCATTATTTTGCTTAATGGGTTTCACAACCACCCATTCCTAGAGATTATTTTTGATAGAACTGAGGTTTCCTCAAGTAGGCAGCTCACCGAGTGTCACACAGATGGCTGTCAAACACTCAGTCCTGGCATCTTTACTCTGAAATCTTTGCCATGAACAGACTTTGAATGGCGAAGAATGGGATGGACTGTATGAATATAGAATAGTGGAAAGCACAGCATGGATTAGAATGCATTTCCAATTTCCTCTCCCTTCTTCCCCAAATGGGCCTGAAAAGCTGCTTTCACACTGAAATGGGACAGCTTAGTGGGTAGACCCTGGCCAAGGATTTGCAGGAAGTTAAGTCTTTGAAAGGGAAGTGTCTCCAGTGGTGGGATGCCAGACACCTAACCCTGGGTAAGAGGGCAGCTGGAGGCTGGGCTGGAGGGGCCCCAAGGACTCATGCAGCTGCCCTGTGCTTTGAGCCTGTGCATGGAGCCTGTGCATAAGGCTGTTTGTGTCTGATTATTTCCTGCCTCTGCCAGGCCCACTTCCCTCTGCCCTTTCCCGTCTGGCTCCTCTGCTTTTTTGCTTTCTTTTCAGGACTCTGAGTTGCTAGGCAACTCCAGTCTGGAGCCGAGGTTCTCACCGTGGAGAGCAGCTTCCATGCAGGAACCTGGAGTCTGATGGAGCTCGTGATTACAGGTGTCTGTGCAGAAAGGACGGTAGCAGCACCAGCCTCCTCTCATCCGCTGCTTGCCTCCCACAGTCAGGAAATGGGAGGTGTGGGCAAGGGAAGCAGACCTTTGTTTAGGCCACTTGCCATTTCCCTTTCCTGCTCTGTTCTTCCCACCTACCTGCAGGACTTCCTCCACACAGGCCCCAGAATCCCCTGGGTGCTTTGGCTTTCTGCTGTCCTAGTTAGAGCTGGACCAGCCAGCTCCTAATACCTCTCTCGGGGGTGTTCCCTTGTTAGGGGCATTGCAGCTACGTGGGCAGAAAAGTCCATGGCTTGACTTTGGCAGTGGGTCAGGAGGCCTTCATGGTAAGGGGAAGGGGGCTGCAGGACTCTTCTACACCCGCCACCTGCAGAGTGAAGAGCTCCACTGGACATGTTTTCACTGCTCTCAGGTGCCCTAGGGAAGGGATGTCAGTTCTTGGTTGGCCCAAGCTCATCTCCGAGGGCTCAGAGGGACAGTGGCAGCACTAGAACTGAGCAGAGGTGAAACTTAGAGGACAGCTTCAGGCACAAATGTAAATGTTTACTGAGTCTGTAGCTTGTGCCAGCTACCGCCATATTTGGGGGCTGAGGCTTCTGCAGGCAAGGAAACATGCAGAATCTGACCTCATGGAGCTAATATTTATGCTGGAGAACGCAGTCAGCAGATAATAGACAATTAAACAAACAATATGACTTCAGATGGTGGTTTGGATTGTTCCCCCTGGGAGAACTGTGCTGTTAAGAGCTGGAGGGCCCTGGGTCCCCAATGCCCTTGAGCACCTGGAGCCCACCACTGTGGCGTTTTTGGGAGCAGCACCAGGCAGCTCTGAAGGCAGAGGTGCTCGTAAATGGAGGGCTGGCTTCCCACCATTCCTACTGTGTCACGGCATCCCCTCCAGAGATCTGCAGGGCGGAGGGGATGGGATGATGGCACTGGCCTGCCTGAGCTAGTCTCCTGATTGAAAGTCACAGCTGTCAATCTGGTAGAGCTCTTGAAAGCATGTGATCTAAAGCTGGCTAATCAGAACTCAGTGATAAGTTGAGGAAGAACATGGGATCTCAGATTGGCCAATCAGAGTCCATTCCTGTGCTTTTTCTGCTGGAAGGATTATGCTGCAGGCCTATGAGCCTGGTGCTGCTCTGGGCAGTCTCTGCTACCCTTGAAAAGAATGCAGCCAACCCAGAGGAAATCACAGCCAGCTGGGCCAGAGGCCAGAGCATCTTCCAAACTCCAGAATTCATAAGCCAATACATTCATTTATTTTTATTGATTTATTAAGCCGGTACTGTGGTTGGGATATTTTCCCCTCAAGTTCATGTGTGGAGAAATTAATGAGACAGTGTTGAGGGATAGGACCTCCAGGAGGTGATTAGGGCATGGGAGTTCTGCCCTCCCAAATGGGTTATTGGTGTTATTGTGGGAGGGTGTTAGCCTGATTAAAAGGTGAGCTCAGCCCCCATTCCCTTCCACCTCACTCTCATTCTCACTCATGCACTCTTGCTTTTCTAACTTCTCCCATGGGATGGCACACCAAGGAGGCCCTTGTCAGATGTGGGCCTCTTGACCTTGGACTTTAAGTCTCCAGAACTACACAAAACAAGTCCACTCTTTATAAGCCACCCAGTTTCAGGTATTCTGTTACAGCAGCACCAAATGGACTAAGAGCCCATGTGCAGTGGTTTCCACACCTTGGCCTCGTAGATCTTTATTGCTTTTCCCTTCCCTTGGATCCCAAGTGTCCAAGGCTGAGAAGGCACCTTCATGACATCGTAGATGACACTAAGAGTGATGCTGAGGAATGCCCTGCTAGTTAGGAGCCACAAAGGGAAATCTCTCAATAAAGGGCACCCCTCCAAAAACACTAAGGGGAAAGTAATTTTGGAAATCCACTTAGGAATATAGTGTTAGGAGTCAGAGCTTATGCTAAGTTTTCCTTCACCAGAGTTCCAAGTTTCCAGCCAAGGCCACCATTTTTTTATTAATTTATTCTTTGAAAGTCGTGAGGAGAGAGGAGGAAGAGGAGGAGGAGGAGGAGGAGGAGGAGAGAGAGAGAGAGAGACCCTCTTCCATCCACTGGTTTACTTCTCAAATGGCCACAATAGTCAGGGTTGGGCCAAAATGTAGCAAAGAGTCAGGAACTCCATCTGGATTTCCCACATGGGTGTCAAACTCAAGTACTGGAGCCATCCGCCTCTCAGGGTGCATTAGCAGGAAGCTGTATCAGAAATGCAGTGGCTAGTACTAGAACTAGTTCTCAGATATGGGATGCCGGCATAGCAAGTGGTGACTTAACCCACTGCTCCCCAGTGCCCTCTCTCGGAGGTGCCTTCTCATTTATTTCTGTCAGCACACACTTGCCGCATGTTTCGTCTCTTCAGAGCCCTGTCCTCTGCCTGTAGTCATCTGAAATAAGTGACATCAGGGCATTGATGCCTAAAATTGCTGCAAGTATTTATCCATGAAGATTAATCTTTTGTACCACAATCCATAGAGCTAGAAACCTCCAGGTGTGCATTCAGGCACTGAGCAGGCTGCTGAGAGAGGATTTCGTAGACTCCTCCTTCTGGTCACTCTGAAGTCCCTCAGCTGAGTGTTTAGGTGCTCTGCCTTTGTCCATGGCTTAGAGTCATTTCTCCTCCTCACTGTGAAATGCCTGAGCCTCCATTACTACAAAAAGTCCACATGCATCACACAGAAGGAGAGGGAAAGGTTCTAGGGGGGACAGCCCTTGGAAACAGGCATGCAATGGGCCTGAGTCTGACTGGCCTTGCAGGCAGGGCATCAATCTTCCCATCTGTAAAGTGGAGGCATTTGTGAGCAGGCCCCCAGTCCTCTCCAGCACTGATGTCTTGGGTGGGATGTCTGTGATGCTGAGTGGCCTGCAAGCCATCTGTGATTCAGGGTGGCAGTGTCCTCACAAGAACACAAGGCATTTATGAGTAGATACTTTGCACTGAAATTTCACAGTCTACTCATTATTTTCTTGCTCCCTTTGGCTGGATCCAGTCTTATTTTATGACTTATGTTATTCCACACAGGGAAGAGGATGGGAATCCCGGGGAGCCGAACTCCAACAGTTAGCATATTTGAGTTCCAGAACCAAAGTGGCCACTGTCCAGACAGCTTAGATCTCAGAAGATACGTGCTACTGCTCTGGGTCTGTTTTCTCATCAGTGAAGTGGGAACAGAATCATTTATCTCTACTCCAAGAATGGGCTGAGACCCTTTAAAATGTAATTTTTTAATGTAAATTTTAAAAATGTAATTGTTTGAATGGCAGAGTGATGAGAGAGGGAGCAATAGAGAGTTGGATAGATAGAGATATTTCCATCTTCTATCTGCTGGTTCACATCCTATGTGCCTGCAATAGCTGAGGCTGAGCCATGCTGAAGTTGGGAGCCAGGAACTCAGTATGGGCCTACTACATGGGTGGCAGGGACCCAGGTACCTGAGCCCTCATCTGCCTCCCAGGGTGCACATCTGCAGGAAGTTGTATGATAAGCAGGGGTAGGACTAGAGCCTGTGCACTCTAACCTGGGATGCAAGCATCTCAAGCAGTGGCCCAGTTCTCTGTACCACAATACCCACACCAGTCGTGACTTAGGTAACTTGTTAAATGGAAATGAAATGAAGAGACATTGTAGAAAGATAGCAGGGGACCTTTCTGTTTTTGACTGAGGAGGCCAATGTGGGCCTTTTTTTGTTTTTCTTACATTCAGGTTTAATGTGATGACAGCTACATTTACCATGCCACTCAAGTTTGACCCCAAGAAGATCAAAGTCCTGTACCAGAGGTACACCACTGGCACCACTGGGGAAGTTGGTGCCATGGCTACCTGAGGGTCTGTCTCCAAGAAAGACTGGTGGTTTCACTGGGGAGGTAACCAGTGACTTGGAAGACAGTGGAACTCACCATTCAGAACAGACAGGTCCAGACTGAGGGGGTGCCTTGTGCCTCTACCTTGATCATCAATCTTCAGGGAAATAGCTGTAGCCAGAAAGAAGCAGGAAAACATTAAGCACAGTGGAAACGTCACCTTTGATAATGTTGTCAATGTCGCCCAAGAGAAGCAGCGCTGATCTTTAGCTAGAGACCTGTATGGAATCATCAGAGAGATCCTGAGGACTATGCCGTCAGTGGGCTGCAGTGCTGACGCCCACCACCTCCATGACATCATAGATGACATCAACAGTGGTGCCAAGGAATGCCCAGTGAATCAGGAACTACAGAGGGAAATCTCTCAACAAAAAGAACGTTTGAAGACGGAAAAAAAATTACCATGGGAAAGTGTTTAATTTTGGAAATGCACCCAGGAAAATAGTGTTAGTCCTCTGCCACATCCTAGGAAGATGGTGTGAAGCTCTTTCTTTGACAGTGGGAAGTGAGGTGGGGGGCTCAGGGAGGGGAGGACGTCAGCTTAGCCTCACAGAGCAAGTCACTACACCGAGGTGCAGCATGCTGGTGGAGTGGGGGCCCTCCTCCTGGTGCCTTGTTGGCTTGCTCTCCCCTCCTTTCCAGGTTAGAGATTTGAGTCAGAGATGAGGCAAATGCTTAGGCAAGGAAAAATGTTTCGCCAGCTTGCTCCACAGGGAAGGAGAGTCCGTGATATGATATGAAGCCGAAAATAGCGTGCCTTAGGAAAGAAACTACCAGCCGATAACGAGCTTGTGGTGGAGGTGTGGGGCCCTCCTCCAGGAAGGTGGGAGTTGAAATGGGACTGCGACGACGCTGCCTGTGTGACTGCTGAACGCAGATGCTCTGGGCTGGGATTTGGAATCCGTGTCACAAGAACAGGGTCCCGCTGGAGCCGCTCGTTCAGCAGTGCTTTCCTGCTGGGGTCTGTGGAACATCCTGACACAGGCCGGGGCTTGAACAAGGGCCAAGGATTTATCCAGAAACAGCAAGCCCTGTACAAAGACGATCCTGGATTTAGAACAGATGAAAGGTACTTTGAGGGAGTTCAAAGAACGGGCACTCGCTCCCCGATGGCTGCTTGCTGGATATTTTGAGAGGTGACTGGGGCATGATTTCTCTCTCTGCTTCTCCCAGGAGTCTTTTCCAACACGGTTTCTCTCTGTTAGTATATTCCAGAGCTTTCAAGCTGGAAAGTCTTAATATGGAAATTCCTGCTGCGGTGGGAACAGGTCTCTCCCAGTTGGGACTTTTGAAGGCCGTTATTCTGATGATGTTAATGGTGATGATTAATTGGCACTAATGATGGAGATGGTGAAAGTAATGAGGCCAACCTGTTTAGGTGGAGTGCATAGGCACACTTGAGGGTAGGGAGAGTGATGATGAGAGCAATGGCAGGGAGCTCCATTGTAGGAATTTGTTGAGAAATCTGGGGAACTCACATTAGCTTGAACTTCATTTTCTGGCAATGTAAATTATTGGCACACACAAAAAAATCACCTCTGGGAAGGGAAGGAGAAAATACCTTTTGCCTGTAAAACCAAATACTTAATGTCAAACTCCATGTCACCAGCTTTCTGATGGGTTATGTAGTGAGCACACGGAAATGCTCATGGAGGTACAAACTCAATATGATATGAGTGGCCACAAAACAAATTAGTGATGGCTAAAATGTGGGATTAATGTAAAAAGGAGCCATTGTCCTCATTTCTCTGCTTTGAAAGGTGTCTGGAGGGGAAGGGTGAGAAAGACAACTAGCGAAATCTTCAGGATTGGAGATAATCCCCTTGCCTTCCAAGAGCACTTTGTGGAGGGCTGTGGGTATATCAGGTCTTTCTGCTTCCCTATGTCCTCCCTTAAGTCATGACATTCTTGCCTTGCCAAGTCACTGATGAGATACAACATTAAGGCAAAGCAACTTTGGGGTCCAGCCTACTCTTACTCATAGTATTGAGGGTACCCCCAACAGCAATGGGCAAGTTAAGGGTCCTCTTTGAGGGCTCAAAAATGGAGAACAACACTAGATGTGTATAATCCCGATTTTACTAATTACCAAAAAAGTCCATACAATGGTGACCAATCCTATCACTTCCTGTTGAGTTGAGAGACAATGTCAGCTGTCATTGGTGAAATTATGAAGCATGATAAACTTAATTTCAGAATTTCTAGACTTCCCTTATTTTGAGCTTTTCTTCTCTGAAATGTCCTCAGCCATGAACCCCTGCCTCAGTTGTGCACAATTATCCCCTAAAGTACAGGGACAAGGTCCCATGAACACAGTTACTTCTCAATGTTTGGGCTGAATTTCAATAATGTTGTCACTGTGTACATAAATTCCCTCCTCAGGGCATTTCCTTCCTGTGGGAGGAGCCTGGAGAGGAAAATATCTATCCCAATAGGAGATCTGAAATGGTGGATTAGCATAGAGTTGGCCCCCTTCTCTTCAAATCACACCATTTAGGTGGTGCCATGTGCTAGGACTATGGTAGTGGAGTCTCAGTGAGGGATCTGCCTGATATATCTGGGGCTGTGATTCTATCATTTGCATCTTTATTTACTGAGGATGTGAAGACAGAGTATCCTACAACATGTTGGGTATCATAGAGCACTCATCATTTCCTAGATGGTGCTCTAAGTCTAGAGCAATCCATATCTTCACTTGTTTTCCTGTATTTTTCAATTCCTTTTTTTAGTGGGTAAAATATTTCTTCATGCTGGGTATCTAGAAGTACAATTGAAATGAATGATGCAGAAGGAAACAAAGGATAGAATGTGGACAAAAAGTATTTGCTTTGCTGGTTCTTGTGAGGAAGTTATTAAGAAGACTCGAAAAAAGACTCATTAGCAGGAAAAAGTTTGGAACTAAGTAATATAGTGAAAATTAGAAACCTCATTCATTCACACATTGATATATTAAATATGCATGGACTAATTTTTATAGGGCCAAAGAATTGAGGACTGAAAGTATTCTAACAAAGAAATCTGTGAGACAGCAAAGCAAAAAGGAAGTGCCAATTCCAGTAACTAATTGCCTTGTAAGAAATCATCCCAAAACTCAGTGACTTAAAATATAGCAATTATTGTATTATTATCATCTCTCAAAATTCAGGGGATTGTCTAGGCTCTGCTAGGCAGTTCTTGTTCAGGATCTTCCATGAGTTTGCACGCACATGGTGAGCAGGACTGGCGTCATTTTAAAGGCTTTCTTGCTTGCATATTGGTGGTTGTTGCTGGTTATTGCCTGGAAGTTCCCCTGGGGATCTCAGCCAGAACACCTACATGTGGACTCTGTGTGGCCTGGACTTCCTTACAGCGTTGCAGCTGGGTTCCAAGAAAGAGCATCTCAAGAGAACTAGGTAAAAGCACTATCTTCTTTCATGACCTGGACTTAGGAGACTCAGGAGTCACACAGCACCATTTCATTGATAGGAAAAATTCCAGTAATATTCAAGAAGAGGGAACATCCACCTTGTATCTTCATAGGAGGAGTATCAACGTCAGTCATAGAAAGAGCATGAAGGATGGGAAGACTTGTTGCACTCACTTTGGAAAATACAACCTACCATAGGTGAGGTAGACTCAGATATTAGTGGGTCTTGACTGAATTTTTGCCAAGGAATAAATCCCTTCAAACCAGGGATGATTAGAGAGCAATACAGGGAAATATCTGATCTAATGAGTGATTCTGTAACATGAATAATAATGGTTAAAAGAGGGTGAAGGATGCATACCATGACATGTCATTAATGATAGACATAACTTCTGAGAAATGTGTGATCAGGCAGCCTCATCATGGTACAGGCATCACAGAGTGTACTTAAACCAATAGGTGATGGTGTCATTAGGAAATAAGATTTTATGGTACCTGTGTTGCATATGAGGTATGTTGTTGACCAAAGCATCATTCTGTGGTGCGTGACTGTAGTTTATTGGAGCTTCAGGTAGTTGGAGCAGACTTCATGGAGGAAGTAGCAGCTTGATCTGACTTTGAGGCTCCAGTAGGTTTCATTCAGTTATGTTTAATTTTTATTCATTCTCTTCCCAAACTCCCTCTTGTAAAGAAATGAAAATAAAATTATACTTACTGGCAATTCCCCCATACTGAGACTACCGCTTAACATTTCCATGTACTGACTCTCCCCTATGCCAACCCCTACCCCCAGAAGTGTATTGGAAAATTCACATTTGGAATTCTAACTATTTTACTTACAATATTTTGTAAACATTTTCCTTCATTATTAAATATTCTTCTAAAATAAAATCTTGAATGGCTGCATAGTATTCTATCATGTGAATAAGTGTACTGTGATTTAATTTTCAAACTCTTGCTGTTGGAAATTTAAGTTGTTTCTTATCTTGTTTTTTTCTTATTTCAAAAAACATTGAAATGAAAATCTTTATGCAGAAATTATGGTGCACATCTGTGATCATATTCCTAGTATTAAATCCTAAAGGTATAATTAGTGGTCAAAAGAGACACACATTTTTAAAAAAGATTAATTTATTTACTTGAAGGACAGAGTGACAGAGAAAGAGAGGAAGAGAGGAAGAGCGAGGGCGAGAGCAAGAGAGAATCAGCTGGTTCACTCCACACAATAACTGAAGCTTTGTAAGGCTAAAACCAGGAGCCAGGAACTCTGTTCAGGTCTCCTACATGGATGGCAAGGGCTCAAATGCTTAGGCTATCACCCTGCCTTCCATTAGGAAGCTGTATCAGAAGCGTAGAGCATCTGGGATTCAAACCAGGCACCTGGTAGGGTATGTGGGGGTCCCTAGTGGCTGCTTAACCCACCGCATCACAATGCCTGCTCCAAGACACATTTAAAAAAGCCCTTTATGCATCTTTTCATGGCCGCTTTCAGGGCAGGTTGTGATTGTTGCCTACCCTGCTAGTCTGAGAAAGCATACACAAGTATGCCAATTTGCCAATACTGTTTGCTACTGGCCATGAAGGAAGGTGTCTTATTTGAGAAACCAAACTGGGGCTTTCTCTATGTAATTATTGGAAGGGTAACATTTTCTCATGTACTTCTTTATCATCTGAATTTCTTTTTCTGTGATTTGCTTGTCTAAGTGCATTGCCTTTTTTTCTATTTGTGTTTTTCTTCTATTGATTGGTAATAGCCCTTTATAAATTATTAATCTTTTGTTTAGCATATATGGTGCACACATTTTTTTCTCTCTGATTTGGCCTTTTGTCTTCCAGCTTTGTTTATGATGTGTTTTTAGATGTAGGGACTTTTTTAGTGTTCATGTGGTCAAATCTAGCAATCTTTTTTATTTGTATATTTTTCTTTTGCTCTTAATGCATGAAAAGCCTTAGCCATATGCTAATAATTTTACCTTGAATTTCCTTTGTGTTCACACACACACACACACACACACAAACACTCAAACAACCATTTAATTTCTGAATCCAACTGGATTATACCTTAAAACATATTCCATCAGGGTCTCTTACAGCTGTTTTTCAGGTATTTACCCAGAAGTTGAACAGGGTTTGGATCGGTGGAGAGGAAGTCAGTATACAGAAGGTAATTTGCACCTACATTGAATGTGAGGGGAACTTGGAGACAGGAAAGAAGTAGAGGATACCTTATGGGACCTGGCATATCAGCCCTGCAGGGCACCTGCACTTCCATCCTGGAGAATCCAGGATGCCACACAAAGGTGGGTGCCTGTACTACTGAGAACTTCATTAGGTTTGGGATTAAAGACATTATTTTTCTTGTTTCTTAACACTTCTTGAGGGCTTACAAACAGCCAGATACTGTGGTAAATATCCATAGTATTTCATTTGATTCTCACCACTGCCTACCAGGCAAGTCCTATTATTATCCTTGTATTACAGATGAGATGATGGAGATTTTGTAAGTGGTAGGGCTGGGACCCAGTCCAAACCTGACTATTTCCGAAGCACTGTAGAAATGATTAAAGTAAGAGTTGCAGGAAGTTAATGCAGAAACATTGTGTAGGTTTGAAGAAGGTGGGGAAGGATTAGGCTCTGGGAGTTTCATGCATACTGAAAGATAAAGTGATAAGGGTTTGTACTAAGGGTATGGTCAGGACACGGACAGTAATGTTGGAGATGGGAGAAGAGGCTAGGGGCAAACAAGGGCCCACAAGATGAGAGGGAACCTGCTGGGCTCAGGACTCCTTTACTGTTGTCTCTCACTCTAAATATTTGATGTCCCACTTAGATCTATGCCTTGGTCTTCATCAACAATCTTGGGAAAGCAGAGCTTTCTTAGGGCTTGACATTCTTGTGTAGAAGTTAGAACAGTGTCAAAATTATTTTTCCCCATCCATCCAGAGAAGATGATACAGGGAATTTGGATTCCAGGATTGGAGCTGTATCTTCCTCCATCAATAAGCACTCCTGAAGTGTACAAGGGGCACATGGGTTGCACAATGGGTGATGAAGAACCTTAAGACACATGGAAAGAGAGCCCTGTCCTGTTGAAAGTAGAGTAAAGAAGTCCCCTGCTCATGCAGAAATACCATACAAAATGCAAGGTGTCAACCCGCCAAGGGAGGCGTAGTTAATCGGGGTTGGGAGGTCAGAAAAGAGGGAATTATTCCTGTTGGTTGGGCCAGGAGTACATGGAATTGTGAACTAATAACTGGTTTCTAAGTTGGGATCATGCTGGGCTTGCTAGAAAGAACAGATAAGAATCCTGTGTAATGAGAACTCTCATTCTTTGTTCGCAAGCCCTGCGACCTGCCCTCCTCCAGGCCCTGGTGACTCCTTTGGCATTTGTCCCTCCTTTACCCAGCCCCTGAGGTGGTTTACTTCTCAATCACAACCGTGTCGCACTGTAATTACACTAATAGAGCAAGCTCAGTTGTTTTCTTTCTTTATGCATCAAGATGTTCTAAGAAAGAGGACAAAAGCAGACGAATAAGAAATAAACTGCAGCTCAGTGCACAGAACATGCATCTTTATCAAAAGAATTACAGAATGGATGCTGCTTTTATTCTCCAGCCAGGCACAAACTGAAATCCTAACTCTATTTCACAGTCTTCCCTAATAACTCATGCTGCATAGATTGTCCACAGCCTGTATGTTTATAACCCCAATTTCATACTGTGGTTCTTGGTAACAGAACAATAATAAATAGGCATAGGTTTTGCAGAAGCACATGACACAGTGTCTGCTGAAACTCCTTTGCCCCACAAGACAGGGCCATGAGAGGACCCTAGCTACTGAGGGTTGTTAAGTCCTAGCTCTGTGGGTTCCTTGCTGTCGATTCCAAGCTGTGTGACCCTGAAGAAGTTGCTGAATTTCTCTAAGTGCCAGTTCATTAATCTGTGAAAAGGAATAAATAATAGCACTTGCTCCCCAGGGTTGCTCTGTGGATTACACAAGGCTGTGGAGTAAGTGTGCAATATGCGAGTGGGATTAATGCAGAATGAGGACAGCCGTAGGTCCCAGCTGGATGCATTTCAGTGTATTTCATTGAGCTTTAGCAGTGCAGGACCATTTCCTTTTGGGTTCGAAGTCATCAATCCATGGTTGAATCATCAGAGTGCTTAGAATGGATCTTAACTTGCTCGGGGGTGGTCCTGATGAATCTGTCCTTTGCTTTATCACTTGAATTTTTGTTTGAGGTTTTGATGAGTGTCTTAGGTACAGGAATTGTAAGTCTAAAACTCTATAAACCATTCCCCCTTTCACCCATAAACAGACCAATAAAGCACACGGCTCTCTGTGATGTCTCTGCCAGTTTTCCTGGTCTGTACTCTTTCCTAGGCTATAAGCTCCATGAGGAAGGGTAAGGGTCCATCTTAGGTAGCTCTGTACTCCTGGTACATGGCATAGACCTGGCACATTATAGACTTTTACTGAATATTTATTGAATAGATGGGATGATGCTTCATCTCTTCTCAGGGATTGTTGGACCCTTTATTTTTCAACTTATCTAAGTAACAACACAACCTTATGAATGAAGCATTTTCATTTCCAATGTATTAATAGAGAAACAGAGATTCAGAAAGGTTAATGTACACAATCAAGGTCAACGAATCCTCCCCTTGTCAGCTCCAGACCCTGACTCCTCTCCTTTTCTCATTCTTATTATGCCACTTGTTATCCATATGGCACCAGCCAAGACACTAAGTCTTCTAAAGAATCACGTGTGCTTGGAATGAGAACTGCTGCACTGTCTTGGGAATGTTTTTACATTTTCTGGGTATTCACAATCTTGAAAAATAAGTGACTCATCATGGTATTGTTTTGATGAAGCCTGAAAATGGCTCGTCTATTTTTAACAGTGAGTGGCAGTAACTAATAATATTAGGTTTTCTTTTCCTACTTGGAGTGGAGAGAGAAGTGAAGGGTCATGGGGGTTAAGGAATATCTGTAAGGAGAGAGACTGGTGCTCCAACAGTGCACAGGGTAGCAACTTCCTTATCATCACAAGCACCTTGCCCTAAAGCCAGACTCTGGTCCACACCAGGGGCTACTTTCCTGGAAACTTTACAACACTTGTCACCAGCACTATCTTCTTCATACCTTCCTTGTGATCATTTGCAGCTTCATCTGGAGGCATCTCTCTCCAGCTACACTCTCTGTGTTTTCTCCTCCCATGCTACGTTTATATTTATGGAGCTCAAATTCTAACCCAATATTTTCAAAAACTTTCAAGTTTCTAGCACCATGTAGTATTCAACTTTTTATTTTTTGAAAAGATGAATGAATAAATGAGTGAGAATAAGTACAGTTGGAGAGGAATTCAGAATGCATCCAAGCATGATGCAGAAGAGCAAGGAAGACAAGAAGAAGGTTGATGGTGTTTCCTAGTGGTTAGCACAAAGGTAGACTCTAGAATTAGATGGTTAGCATTGCACCCTGGCTTCACAGCTCATTGGACATCAGATCTTGGGTGGACTACTCAGCCTCATTTTTCTCGTCTTTAAAATGGGAGCCATGAAAATACCTCTATCACTTAACTATTGCTATTTAACAAACCATATCAAAGCTTAGTGGCTTAAAACAAGCATTGTTTTTATTGTTCACAGGGTAATTGGTCACCTGCTTACAGGGTTGTCTGATCTAGGCTAGGTTTTGCTGAGGTGGAGCTGTTCCACGTGCCTCCCATCTTTCACCAGAACAAGTTGGTCAGTATGATTATATTCTTCTTGTGAGAATAGCAGAAGTGCAAGAAGGAAGGGTGGGTGTTTGGCCTCGCTGTTTGATACCTGGCTCTGGCTTCTGACTCCAGTTTTCTGTTAATGCAGACCCTGGGAAGCTGCAGGTGATGACTCAAGTAATTGGATTCCTGCTACCCACATGAACAACCTGAATTGTTCCTGGCTCCCAGCTTTTGCATGACAAAGCCATGACTATTGTGAGTGCTTGAGGGGTGAACTAGCAGGTAGAAGCTCTCTTTCTTTCTCTCTGTCATCTCTCTCTCTCTCTCTCTCTATCTGTTTCTATGTATCTCTGCTTCTCAAATAAGTAAATAAAACTAGTAAGAAAAGAAAATATGTACAAGAAAGTAAAAAGAAACATGCAAGGCATTTTAAGGCCAAGATTTGGAACTGGTGCTTTCAATTCTACTCATATAGCATTGGACAGAACAAAATACCCAGCCATACAAGCATCTCACCTACAGAAGTGTCTTACTGGTGTGGATGCTGTAGGTGGTGTGGAGTGAACGCTGAATCCAGGAATAGATTTTAACATATCATCCACTGAACTATTAAAAAATTGAAAAAGACAGATATTATTGAGAGTTTATCAAAGTATCAGGTACGCTGTGAGCACTGCACATGTGTATGGTAGGAAGCAATATATAAATCTAGTTCTGTAGCTGCAGTTATAAGTATTATTGTCAGAAAAGCAGGCACTTGTTACCCAAAAGAACAAGATGCACAGAGGTTTTATCCTGGAGAATTGAGTAAAGCAGCCTATCTTTGGGTGGTGAAACGGAAGTTTATTTATTTAGCAGACATCTGTTGAGCACCTGTGTGCCAGAGACTGTTCAGTGTTCTTGGAATGTAGCTGAGAATTAAGTAAAAGTTTTTGTCCACGTGACATTGACATTTCAGCAAGGCAAGATATACAGAAAAAGAAAAAAATAGGTAAATAATAGTGTGATGATGTACGCCTTGAAGGACTGCAGAGGAAAGCAGGGCGCTGGGTATAGGTATAGTGGCTCTGGGGCAGGCAGTCTTCAGATTAGATAGGATAGGCAGTGAGTTTCCTTGAGAAAGTGAGAGCAGACACTTGCAGGGAGGTGATGGGGAAGCTACGCAGACACTGTGGGAAGAACTCTGTAGTGAGAGGGACTTTAGAACAAAGATGATGAGGTAGGGGTGTAGTGTGTTTGAGGAGCAGTGATGAGGGTTGTGAGAGGAGAGGTAAAGCCTGAGGGGCAGAGTAATGGGAGATGAGGTTGGAGATGTTATGGGAAGGCAGGGACTTATAGGTTATTTTGGGGACTTCAGTTAACTCTTAGCGGAATGGGGAGTCAGTGAAAAATTTCTAACAGACACATGATGTGATTCTTACAATAAATGGTAAGAAACTTACCTTTCAAAGCATCTCTGTGGTCCCATTGTTAAGAATACCTCCAAGGAGGCAAGGGAAGCTGTGAGAGTCAGCCAGGAAAGAGGTGACAGTGAAGGTGTCAGCATCTTGGGTTTCTAAATGTTTTGAAGGCAGGGCCAATGAAATCTATTGGAAGATGTCATATGGGGTGTGACAGAGAAAGTTAAGTGTGGAGGACTCTAAGGTTTCTGGCATGATGCACTGAGATAGGGAAGTTTGTGGCTATAGTAGCAATGCGGTGGGAAAATCTAGGTGTTCAGTTTTGAATGTGCTGGGTTAGAGAGAACTTTTTTTTTTAAAGACTTATTTATTTATTTGAAAGGTAGAGATACAGAAAGAGAAGAGGAGGAGGAGAAGGTGGAGGAGGAGGAGGAGAGAGAGTGAGCTTCTATTTGCTGCTCACTCCTCAACTCCCGAAATAGCCACAATGGCCGGGGCTGGGCCAGGCAGAAGCCAGGAGGTAGGAGCCTCTTCCAGGTCTCCCATGTAGGTGCAGGGCACCAAGCACTTGAGCCATCTTCTCCTGTTTCCAAGGCACATTAGCAGGGAGCTGGATTGGAAGTGGAGCAGCTGGGACTTGGACCAGTGCTCATATGGGATGTTGACACAGCAGGCAGGCAAGCACAATCTTCACCTTCTGAGCCATGGCAGTATTTGAAGTATATGATGCTGGTCCTATCAGCACAGGAGTGAATGTTAATACAGTAAAGGAACCAGGAGGACCCCAGAACACTGGACATACATGTTAAGACTGTGGAATCCTGGCAGGGAGGCCATGTGGCCAAAGAGTGCTGACAGATCACATAAAGAGGCTTGGGATTAGCAGGTGGATATGCCAATGTGGAATTCACTAGGCACCATAGTGAGACTAGTCCTGGCTAAGAGGTGTGGGTGATAGGTGGACTGTAGCAGGTTTAAGAAAGGGAGGGAGGGGGCCAGCACCATGGTGCAGTAGGTTAATCCTCTGCCTGCGGTGCCGGCATCCCATATGGGCACCGCTTCTAGTCTTGGCTGCTCCTCTTTCGATCCAGCTCTCTGCTATGGCCTGGGAAAGCAGTAGAAGATGGTCCAAGTCTTTGGGCCCCTGCACCCACATGGGAGACCTGGAAGAAGCACCTGGCTCCTGGTTTTGGATTGGTGCAGCTCCAGCCATTGTGGCCATTTGGGGAGTGAACCAACGGATGGAAGACCTTTCTCTCTGACTCTCCCTCTCACTGTCTATAACTCTAGCTGTCAAATAAATAAATAAATAAATCTTTAAAAAAAAGAAAGGGAGGGAGGAAAGGAACTTGAGATAGTGTAGGTAACCCTCGGAGGAGGTCCTTGCAAAGAGGAACAAAATAATAATAATAATAATAGAATGAGAGAAGTAATTTTTAAATTTTAATTTAGATTTATTCATTTATTTGAGAGGCAGAGTTATAGACAGAGAGAGGGAGAGACAGAGAATGGGGTCCTCTATCCACTGGTTCACTCTCCAAATGGCTACAATGACTGGGGCTGGGCAAGACTGAAGCCAGGAGCCAGGAGTTTCTTCCAGGTCTCCCATGTGGGTGCAGGGGCCCAAGCACTTGGACCATTCTCCACTGCTTTCCCAGGCCATTAGCAGGGAGCTGGATCAGAAGTGGAGCAGCCGGGACTTGCACTGGTGCCCATAGGGGATGCCAGCACTGCAAGAGGAAGCTTGATCTACTACAGCACAGCTCAGGCCTCGGGAGAGTTTTATTGATGGCTGACATACTGGCATGTTTATGTACTGATGTCAATAATGCAGTAAGAATGTAAAACTGATCATGCAGAAGAGAACAGGAGAAAGGATGGTAATATGGAAACCACGAGAGGAACAGGCCAAGCTTTTCCGGCTTTTAATCCCTGTATTCCTTACCACAGCAGGGACATTCATTAGGAGATTATGACTCTCTCCTCTCAAATGATTGCATCAAGCCCCATCAGTAGTCTCAGTCCCATCATTAGCCTTGGTGTTTCCTCTATTGTTGCTATTGCTTCTCCACTCAGGGCATGGAAGTACTAAAAGCATTTTTATTTTTAAAATATGGAACCCTGAACCATTTCCCATGCTTTGTTTTGTTTCCTAGATAGGACTGTGAGGAAAGAGAATCCCTGATCTTCATCTGTGAGACGAGGCAGAAACTCTTTGAAAACACAAAGTTCCCCTTGAGACAAACTGGGACCGACCTGCGAGAAGGGGGTAAGCCTGGTGGACAACTTTGAGGATTTTAGTGACAAATGGATCTGATGAGGACTGTCTTGTTAAGAGGCAAGGTCTGAGAGTGATTCAAGGAGAGTGGGACCTCCAGTGTCTGTGGTTTCCCTCTGAAAAACCTTACCCTTTTCTCTTTATTGAACTGGCATACAAATCATACCCTCAATCCTTGCTCTTCCTTCCCTCTGTCTGGAGCTGGTCTCTGTGTGGGTGCAGTTCCTGCCCCGGTGTCATGTGGGCTGTGAGATTTCTGAAGCCATGGGCTATCTTCTTTTATGCTCCAGAGCACTAAGTCCTTGCCTGGGGCAGGGCAGCAGATGGGTCCATACTTGGCCATTCACACATGGGGTGTGATGGGCTTGTCTTGGAGCAAAGTCTACAGAGAGGAAGTGGATTCAGCCCCATCTTTAAGGCAGCTGGAGGAAGGTCAGAGTAGGTTTAATAGGGAGATTTCATCTCAATCTTCTGTACCCAAGACATAATGTGGAGCCTGGCATCTGATCTTGGTGATACATCGATCACTTGGGGTCAGTCTTCTCTCCTCTGACCAGTGAGTCCACACCTGCAGCAGGGTGGTCTGCCTCTTTGAGAGTTAGGGAGATCTCCTGTTCTGCACATGTGCTCCTGGAGACTGGTAGTGACTAGTCAGAGATGCTGTGGATGGGCCTCTGCACTGCTGTAGGTTGCCTCTAAGGTCCTTGTTAGTTTTCTAGGATGCTTCAGTTCTACCTGGGAGGATAAGTGGAAGGGTCTGCTGCTTATCATGCCTCCATCTCTTCATCATTAGTCTCACCTGCCCTGATACTCTGCAATCCTACAGCTGCTGCCTGTTAGGAATCTATAGCTGACTCCTCAGTCCTGGGCTACTTTTCCCATTGCTTATCTGGGTCTGAATCTCAGGAGAGGAGTACAGGCAGTAGTGTCAAGAACAAGGCAAACCTCAGCCATTTTTGGTGGCTTCCATGTACAAAAGAGAATCTGTGTCCTAATGGCCAAGTTGACCCCAGATGTCACATGAGCGAAGGCTCCATCAGTGCTGGTTTTTGGGTCTCTGAGATAGGTCTCTTGCTCTCTCCATCTCTCTCTTCCAACACCCTAAGTGTTGGTGGATGCTCACATTTCTACCACCATAAGAACATAAGACCTTAATCATTGCCAAAATGCACATACCCAAGAAAGACATTGGGGAGTTATGTTTCATTATTAGATACCACTCCTGAGTATTACTAGATAAAAATCAGTATACTGAGGATGCTACCACGAAGGGGAGAAATCCTGAAATGTGTATGGCACTGCTGTGTGAGAGAGAAGTGAGAAGAAGTGGAGAATCCCCAAAAGAGTGATTAGGGTACCCCCCAAATAAATGCTTCTATTGCCACCATTCGGTAGAGAGTGAGCTCTGCACACCTGTTGCTCTCCTAGTCTTCAATCCTCCCCACACGGCAACTCCAAAAAGGCCTTCAGACTCCAAATGACACCCTCATCAATAAGCTTGCATTGCAAAACCACATTTTGACAACACATTTCCCAAATTTAGTCCCCTAATCCACTCCCAGAATATATTATGCTTTGCACCCAACAGATGGATTAAAAGCTAAAATCTTCTGCTTGTTAGGAAACCAACCAGAAACCAAAAATACAAACACACCCCTGCAGGTGTGAGTTCCATGGTGGTGGTGAGGGGAGAAGCATAGGTGTATGTAAGGAACTGGGAGTGTTCACTCTGTGGGTGTCCTCTGGATTCTGAATGGGGTGAGGGCAGCCAGCTGATTCTATAAATCCTGCTCAGGTCCCTTGGTGCAGCCTCTGTGTACAGGCAGTTATGCATAGTACCACAGAAGTCCAGACTACAGGTCAAAATTGCTAGCATGGCAGCTGTTGGGACTTCAGCCAAGTTCTCTTCTACATAAAATGGGGGTGTCTCATGGAGGGATAGAGGTTTAGTATGAGGGCAGCAGCCCATCCTGAGGGCCAGATGGAGAACCAGCTGTGTAACTCCCATTCTTGTCTGCTAGCTCCTGTTGGAGACTTGGGGGGCTTTGAGAGCTTTCTGCTCCTCATGCTTTTTGGGAGTTCCAAGTTTCATTATATCAGAAACCACATCTTCTCCCCCCGTGTGTGTAAAATAGTAAAAACTGCAAAATCTCTGCAAACAAAGGCTGTTATTTTGAAGGCAGCTGAGGGAGGGGAGTGAGTGGTGGAGGGGGGCACTGAGGGCACTTGGGGGCATACATAGGAACACTCCAGGAGCTGGGGTTATCAGGAGGAGAAGAAAAGATCTCTGGGGGGGGGGATTCCTTGGGAAATTTTAGAATTCCTTCCCTGCTGCTACTGTCTTGTTTTCTTTTCATCATTGAAACATTGTTCAGAATGCTATAAAAAACAAGGTGTTCTAATTAAACAGATTTGTTTGTATGTTGTGGCATGAAAAACTAATTCAATCTGATATACTGTACATTCCTGCTATACTTTTTCTCCTTCCCTTTATATAAAACTACCCATTTAAAAATAATGTTATACTTAAGCATCTTAAAGAGTGTCCTTGATTAAAATAAAGCAAGCAATTTCCTATTTCCCACAGCTTTCAAAGGGTTGTGTCAACAGGGAAAGAAGGAGAGGCTGTGGGTGGGACTGTCATGATATTCTACTTGACATTTCTCAGGCAGTTCTTGCCATTTCATTCCCAGCAAAGTATGTGATGCTGTCACACTGGAGTCTTAGTTAGGCTTTCCTATGGGCCAAAGCAGAGAGGCCCAGGGTTCTGGGAACACAGTGGCCTCACCAGAAGCCTTTGTGTAGAGAAAGTGCAAGGCTGTTTGTGTAGAGCATCCCAGGTGGGCAGTGGCCCCAGCAGCCTTTCAGAGTCCTGTGGAGTCCTGGGAATGATCCACAGGAAACAGGAGGTGCCATGGTTTTCAATAGGATTTGTCATCTTCCAAACTCATGATGTTATCTCGCCCCAATGTAACAGTGCTGAGAGGTAATGGGAACTTAAAGAGGTAATTATGTCACTGACCATGTTACTGCAGAGTGGGATGTTATAAAGCAACACAGCCTCTCGTACTTGGCCTCTTCCACACAGGCTCACCTGCCTTTCTACTTTTCTGCCGCTCTGATGCAGAATGAGGCCCTTACCAGAAGCTGCCAGATGCTTGAGCCTTGCTGAACTGGAAGCTAACTAAACTCCATTCATCTGAAATTGCCCAGTCTCAGGGGTAGGGGGCATTCTGTTATAGCAGCAGAATACAGACTACTAAAACAGCGGGCATGGGGAAACTGAGAGACATATTCACAATCAGGATGATTGTGATTGCAAAACATTTTGTAGGAATTATTTCTGTTACTATAAACTTTCAATTAAAATTGTCCAAGAGAGGATAAAAAGGGCACATATCATCCTTTATTTGGAGATGCTAAGGCAGAAGCTGCCCTACCAGCAATTCCAGGGTTCTGTGGAAGGAATATTGGTTGAGGATGAGAGATCTGGTTGGTTTCTCACCAGTCTCAGATTCTCAGAGCCCAGTAATAACCTGGAAGCTGTGGAGTAGAGACTCTTTCTAATCTCCCAACTCCCCTGAGCCTTAGACAGCACTGGAATATGTGTGTGTGTGTGTGTGTGTGTGTGTGTGTGAATATTTGCAGTGTGCAAGACTGTGTTAGCAAGGTTGTGTTCCCAATGTTCTCAGCAGATGCCTTATTTATTCTGACCTCCTTGCCTTTGTCTAAGCTGTTCCCTTCACCTGGGAAACCTTCTTCTATTACTCACCCCACTGAAACGTAACCTATCCTTTGAACAACTGAGATCAAGCAATTCCCTGCCCTTTGCTTCCCATGCACTGATTTCTACATTTATGACTAATCTGTGTTTTCAGCCTGCTCTTTCATGGTTCTACTTGTGAATGGCTTTTGACACAGCTGGACTACGTTTTCCTTTCCTGTCTATCAACAGCACCTTTTGCTGTTCTGGAGAGACATAGATGGCTAGTAAAGACATCCTTGCAGATGGGTTTATTGAGGGTAAACATCTGAGAATTCCCTCTCCCCTCCTCCCCTCCACTCTGCTCATTCTATGAATATTTAGGGGACATATCAGCTTAAGGGCCCATGGCGACTGAAGCAAGAATGAGATAGGATTTCCCATGTTGTCACATTGCTTGTAGAGGGCATCTACACTTACTGTGTGTTGATTTGGGGTTTGCAAGTGGAAGCCCTGGGATGTGAGGTGGGGCAAGAGGCCTGTTAGCTCCTCCATCCTCAGCTGTGGAGCAGCTGAATTGCTTCTTTGCTCAGTTCCTTCTTCTGCTTTTCTGTCCTGATACAACCTCTACCATCCATTGACAACTTCTCTACTCTCCCCAGTAGTTGTAATGTAAGTGTCTTGGGTTAGTGCTCAAGATGAAAGCATGGAGAAAAATAAAAAGGGTCAGGCATTGTGGCATAGCAGGTGAAACAACCACCTGTAACACTGGTATCCCATACGGCACTGGTTTCTGTCCCAGCTGATCCCTGCTAATGGCTTTTCCTCTCTCTCTGTAACTCTAACTTTCAAAATAAGTAAATCCTTTTAAAAAAAGCTTAGGGAAAAAGTTTGGAATTGGACTTCTTTGGAAGGAAATGTGGCTCCTCTGTGGCTCATTAGATTCTATCTGCAGAGTGGGATGGTGATTTCAAAAATAAAGACCAGAAATATGAAAATGTTGGAAAGACACCAAGCACACTCTCCCTATCCACCTACAGGGACTCCATGCAGGGTGTAAGGAGGGCTTCCTCTTGTGGGATTCTGGGTTCTCACACCCACGTATTTAACAGTTGGCTTGACATATTTTTTCAAAAGTTATTATTCACTGAGATCCCATGTGCCAGGCACTCTGCTGATGATCTAAGAGAGATTCAAGAGAAATGTTTGGTCCAAACCCAAATCCCACTCTTCCCCTATCAAGCCCATTCAGCCTAGCTAAGCAGGCTTTTCACCACCCACCATTTAC